TTCTCCTAACTCCATCCTTCATAATACTCTTTGTCTCATATTTACATATATGCTGTAATCCTTTTCCACTGTCATGGATCAACAACTTTTATAACTCCCTCAAACTTAAGCTATTATCTTTGCTCCTCAGTGTTTTGCTTTACTCAAAAACATTTATTCTTTTTTTGCCCCCTCTCATCCTCAAGTTCCCTTTTAATATTGCTTCTATTGCTGAGTTCAAGATTGCTTACATATTTCCTATTTTTAAAAATACTGGAAGCTAAGTACCTTGTCATCTCCCTTTCACATAGGATTCTTTTTTTTTTTCCCTTATATTATTGACAACTATTGAAAACTTAGTGATAGAATACCACTGGTCAGAGAATGAATACTGGCTAGTCATTACCGCTGTTCTAAGCCTGAATAAATTGGTCTTATGAAATGCTGTCACAACTGGCCACATGCCTCTTTATAGTAGAAGTGAGCCTGTATGAAGAGGCCTTAAGGATGAATTGAGCATTCCTTCTTTGGTCGTTGCTTGGATAACTAAAGGGGAGCTTTTGGGGCACCCTTCATCTCTCTCACCATTACCTTTGCATTTACTACTATCATCCTCATAAGTTAATTTTTTTATTTGTACATGTTAATGGGATCAGGTCTCAACAAAAATCTTGTCTTTGTCAACAAGTCATTCCATCTCATTAGGTTTACAGCTTATTTCTTTTATTCTTTCTTAGTGTGTTGATTTTATAATTTAAGGCTGAGCAGTCAAATTTATTTCTCTTAAGTTCAGATCCTGGTGGAGAATAGATTCACATATTCACAATAGGTTAAATTAAGGAAAAAGAAGCAAGTTTGGGGCCCCTGGGTGGCTTAGTTAAGTGGCTGCTTTCAGCTCAGGTCATGAGCCCAGGGTCCTGGAATGGAGCCCCGCATCACATCTGACTGCCTGCTCAGCGGGGAGTCGGCTTCTCCCTCTCCCACTTCCCCTGCTTGTGTTCCTCTCTCGCTGTCTCTCTCTCTCTCTGTGTCAAATAAATAAATAAAATCTTAAAAAAAAAAAAAGCAAGTTTAAATCATGTGTCAGAGATCTGCTTCTCTCCTGCAACTCCTTATAAATGAAAAGAAAAACAACAGAAAAGATTGGAACCCTGAATCGGGTTCTCTGCTCAGCAGGGAGCCTGCTTCCCCCCACCCTCTCTCTCTCTCTGCCTGCCCCTCTGCCTACTTGTGACCTCTCTCTGTCAAATAAATAAAATCTTTAAAAAAATAATAAAATAAAATGTCCACTCCTTTGGAGTGCCTAGGTGGCCCAGTCACTTAAGTGTCTGAGTCTTTTTTAAAATATTTTTTTATTTGAGACAAAGACAGAGAGAGAGTGAATGCAGCAGGGAGAGGCAGAGGGAGCGGGAGAATCTCGAGCAGATTCCTCGTTGAGTGCTGATCCCAACACAGGGCTTGATCTCACAACCCTGAGATCATGACCGGAGCCAAAATCAGGAGTCAGATGCTTAACCAACTAAGCCACCCAGGCGCCCCAGCCTCCAACTCCTAATCTGAGGCCAGGTCTCGATCTCAGGGTCATGAGCTCAAGTGGGCTCCATACTGAATGTGGAGCCTACTTAAAAAAAAGAAAAAAAGTCCATTCTTTTGTCAAAGGATGGAATTAGGGCTGATAACTTTTTTTTATTGGACTTATCTGGCAAAATTAAAAGCCAGAATTCCTCAAGCAGGTCCTCAATTTTATTTTATAGAGCTAATAAATAACTGTTAACATAAACCAAGGCCAGAATAATGAACAGGCATTAGCCAGGCAAAGTGGGCAGAGGCAAAAATATGTTAGGCAGAGGGAGCAGCAGATGCAAAGGAATAAGGATGGGGGAAAAAAATATCTTTTATCTCTTCAATCCTGGAAGTATAGAAAGCAGAAGCACCAAGATAAGAAGGAGTACAGAGGCCTCTATGAGACATTGTAGGCCATTTAGGGGCTATAATTTGATCCATGGGAAAAGGAAGGGTATTTAGTTCATTTTTTTTTTTTTAATGCATGCTATTTATAAACCTTTTTTCAACTATGTATTTTTTTTGGAAGATAATTCTTCAGACTCAAAAGTACATCAAATTTATTCCTGTTAAATTTTATCGAATTCAAATTCACTGTAGCTATGGTCTACAGGTATTACTTTGTGTCCTAATCAATCTTACCTTACCTAATCAATTTACTATTTCCACTTTATATCTTCTGTATGAAATATGATGACTGCATCCTTTAAATGTTTTTTCTATGCCCACCTTAAAAAGTAAGATTAGTTTGATGACAAGCCTCTAAGATTTTTTTATTTGGATGACATAAAAATATTAATTAGCATCCTATGAATACAAACAATATACTGCTGAGGTTTATCTACTCTACTAGGTATCTAATTAATTTTTTCATACTGCTTCTAGGCCAACAGAAATACCTAGCAATTTCATTTATTAGTTAGGTCCAAACTGTTTAAGAGTAGTGATCTGTGCTTTGTCCAAAAGATATAGTTGTGCTTCCTTCAAAATTATAAAATATCCAAGGCACTATGATGCTCTAGGTTGCCCCACCATACAGTTTGAGAACTGAACTTCTAGCCTATAACCCTAACAACAACATACAAAAAGATGTATTTGACATACTCTATTCTGTGTGAATTTATACTTTGTCAGAGTGATTACTGCTTCCTCCTAAGATACTTGCAGACATTGCTTTTAATCTTGCCAGGGATCAAGATGAAGAAAACTGGTCTACTTTATAGAATATGCTTTTTGAAAATTATATGACATACAATGATCTTTAGTTTTCTGCCAGTTTTTCTATTTTCCATGTCCTCAAATAAAATCAAAATAAATTCAGTGAGTATATATGAAAGTTCATGCAGTTACTGATGCCACGTTAAATGTTTAAAGTACCCAATATTTTAAAACTTCATAACCAACTAAAGCAATAACTGTTTAGCTTGTTCACTAGTAATATCTTAAGAAGCTGACAGATCTTCGTAAGAGAGTGTTTAAGGGGCACCTGGGTGGCTCAAACATCTGCCTTTGGCTCAGGTCAGGTTCTAGGATCCTGGGATTGAGTTCGACATTATGCTCCCTGTTCAGTGGGGAGCCTGCTTCTCCCTCTCCTCCCCACTGTGCTCTGTCTCTATTGCTACGCTGTCTCTCTCAAATAAATAAAATTTTTAAAAAATAGAGAGAGAGTGTGTTTAAGGAGAACTCTACAGTCAGATGGATTTAGTTTAAATCTGAGCTCTACCACTTACTAGCTAAGTGACCTTGCATAAGTTTTAAATCTTTGTAAATCCTAATTTGTTCATCTTTATTAAAAGAATAATACCTAATTAAAAGGGTTGCTGTGATGAATAAATCCAACTTGGTATTTAATAAGCATTCAAAAATACCTACTATCATTAATAGTAAGAACAATAATTTCATGCAACATAAGAAAATGTATACTATATGTCTGAGTACTGCTAAGCCCACAGAGTTGATATAAATGAAATAAATATGATTATAACCACAAATGATTCAAAAACTGAAAATCAAAATAGTGAAACTACATCTAATGCAAAACAAAAATTGAATGGAAGGTGTGGTATAATGGAAGTAGCCATTTAAGAGAATTTGAAACTCAAACATATGCAAATATTTCAAGGTTATAATAGAAGTTTGATAAAAAATGGCCCAATGTAGACCATTATTTGTCATTCCAATGGAATGTTCAACCGGAAGATGAACAGTGTGAAGAAGCATAACATAGTTTTCTCTATTTTGTTTATACTATACTTATTTATTTTAGATTAATATAAAGCAAAATAAAGCCAAATTAAACACTAGAATATCCATAACACCACAGAATAAAAGCCACACACAAATTTGCTTTCCATTTCATAAAAAAAAAATTCCATTTCATAAAAAAAATGCATATTATGAATTGGTAGCCTTCCTTTCTCAAAAAGAGACTCTACAATTAGCTTAATTAATACTTTAGGCTACTGTTCATAATTCATAATGTTAATTTATATTCACCTCACTTATTTATCTCTGCTCACCTACATTTTAATCATCTCTTTTAAGTGACAGGGATCATAAAGATTTTTATTACATTCGAAAGTATCCTCCTTAAAATGACATGAAAAAGACAACATAACTAAATTTTCACAAAATGCTATCCCCTTTTTTTCAACAGATGTTTTATAGAAAAAAACGGGAATATCTAGGAAAACATGTATGCATACTTAAGAAAAAAGGAACCATGAAAATTAAGACCACTGATTACTATCAAATTAATTCAGTGAAAGAAAAGGAAAAATCTGATGAACAAGGTCATAGTCATCAATCAGAGACACATGTAAGAAAACAAGCCAAAACAACAAAAAGTGGGATTCTAAGAGAGGAAGAAAAAGGCATGCTTTGAAATTTTGCATAAAGTGTGATTCCATTTTAATATATTTTGATTCATTTAAAGCAAGTGGGTGAAATTATTATGATCATATGGTGGTTTAAAGTGATATTATCACATCTTCTTTAAGTAAATATGTTCAGACTATAACATATAAATAAGCTACAAAAATTAGGCTAAATTGAAGAGCTACACGCTTGTCAAATATAATCAAAGGCCAAATTTGCATCTGAGAAAATTATTGCATCCAAAAAGCAAAAAAAAAAATATTCTTTGTAATCAATAAAGAAAACATATACAAAGCATAGATACTAAACTATATAGGACATAAGACAAAATTACACACAAGAATGAATTTATGGATCATCACAGCTCAACCTGTTTACATTGGCTTATTTAGACATGATCTTCAATCTTTTCAAAGATTTTCTAAGAGAATCAGCATTTGGGAAATGGTGAGGACCTGTAGCCTCTTAGGAAATCCTGGATGTATTTCAGGTGAAATTCCTCTGCAGATAAACATGCAAAATGACTTTTGTTATTTTCTCTGAAGCAAAGCATAAGCAACTTCTGCAGAACACAGCCATACCTTTCTGGATGTCTTCGGCCATATATTTCTCCTTTCCATTTAGTTTCATTATTTTCTGCTCTTTGTTGCTGCATTTGATCAAAAATAGCATGATAGTGTTCATACTGTCCTCGAGAAGAAAAAGATGATGGAGCCACAGCCCCTCCACTGCCAAAAAAGGGAGCCTAGGAATTAAACAAAGAGCTCTCACATGTTTATCTCATAAGGCCCAAAAGGCCTGTAGTACCCTCAAAAGAAAGGTTTTTTTTTCAACACATGACTTTTAAAAAGCAATTAGCTAATTTGAACACATTAATAAGCAGCCTAAAGCAAAATGTTTTCCTACTATAACCATGTCAAAAATATAAAAGTAGTATACTTTGTTACTAAGAATAAAGCATAATTTAACAAACAAAAATATAAGAAAATTAAAATTGTAAATATTGAAAAGTCTGGTCTTAAGTTTTGAAACAAGTTTCTCATACATATTTTATGATGCCATTCTATTAAGTTTAAACATGTACAGTTCATAAGTAAAAGCAGAGCCTACTTTAGTAACATTTGAAATTATATTTAACCAAAACATTTACATATGGCATTTAATATACCTCAAATCCTTCAACTCCACAAATGGTAAAGATATAGTAAGTACTGAGACTGAGCAACTTTCACAAAATAGAAAAAAACTTACCAGAAATAAAAATTCCTTAAAAGAAAAAAAAGGCACTGGAGAAAGATACTGTTCAACCCAGCCTCGAAAGCAACGTAACAAAGATAGACTGAATGATTAAATATAAGCCAGAGTATTAAAGTAAAAATAAGCAATGTATGTGTAATATTTGGGTGTTCACAGCAGGAGGAGGAAAAGAGTATGCAAACAAATATGAAAAGAAGGCAGACATTGGTCAAAAAGGCTAGTATCTCTAACTGCTATAAATATATAATATGTAATATATAATAATATAATAAAGGACATATAATAAAGGACAATAGAAAGCATTTATAAACTTTCTGAAAGGTATAGCAAAGCAAAACAGTTTTTAAGAAGGTGAGTCAAATGATGCATGATAAGCAGTAATAAGAGAGAGAAAAAGGTAGAGGAACTAACTGGAAGGCTTACTGCGCTGATGCCTAGTCACAAGCCTAGAAGTAAAGAAAGGCAATCAATGAAAAAGGGAAGGGAGCTGTGGAGTCTCTCTGTGAATAACACAGAATAAAGGCAGATATAATGCCACAACTACTGAAACATAAGAACTCAAATGTGTGGAAAACTCATAGTTAGAAAACAGATGTCAGACAAGGATAAGAGTTTTAAAAGTAAGTGTGTAATGCTGCACAAGTCAAGGTGAAAGAATTTCACAGTCAAGAGGAAATTAATAATCTCAAATGCAGAGGTCAACAACAATAAAAAGAAACTGTTATGACTGAAGTTGAGTGGTAGCATTTCAAAATCCATTTTTGTGGGTGAAGTGATGAGAACAGAAGCCAGAATACTGACAAGTAAAAGATCTTCCAAGTGATCACATCTTAAGGAAGAAATCTGGCAAAGAAAAGAGGCAAAGAAAAATACCAGAATCAGGTAAATTTCAGTGTACCCAGTGAGATTAAATCTTGACATAGTAAGCTGCAGACAATATTATAAGAAAGCATGAGTTAAAAAAAAAAAAAAACTGGAAATGAATACAGATAACTGATTGAAGATGTCTGAGAAGAGATCAAAGTTGTTAGAAATAGGGAAGGTAACTAATTAGGCAGGAAACCCCATTAAAGGAATCCTCACACACATCTTCAAAATGTGCCTCTCAAGGCAAGAATCAGAATCAGAATTCTGATGAAAAGCAGTTGCATCTCTTTTGAGACTGGTTACTCTCTGAATATAGTCTGGTGCTAATATCACCTTGACTTGAATTTGAGTTGTCTAATGTTTCTCTTTAGCGAAAATGAAGGCTGAAAATACTGGAAAGTAATGTTGAAAGTAATGCTGAAAATACTGGACTAGAACACTGAAGCAATATGATATTTCAAAAATCACCTTCTTCACCAATTAGAAGCACAGGTGGGTAAGTTTTGACAAATTTATACACCTGTGTAACTACTACCACAATCAAAAGCATATCCATCACCCCCAAAAAGTTCCCTCATTACTCTGGAGTCAACGTTCCCTCATCCCAGCAACCATTGATCTGCTCTCTGTCATGGATTGGACTGCCTTTTCCATAATTTCATGTAATTGAAATCATACAATATGTACTCTTATGTCTGGCTTCTTTAACTCAGTATGTTTTTGACTAATCCATGTTGTTGCATGTATTAACAGCTTATTGCTTTTTATTGCTGAGTAGTATTTGAATATATTTTCAAACAACAGATAAGCTTCTCACATATTATGATCACCGTATGATCCAACTATGTATGCGCAACATTTCATAATTTAAAAAAAAAACACATTCATAAGAGATACATCAGAAATAAAGCAGTAGGTCCCAGATTTTGCAGATATTAAATAACCAAAGACATTTGGTAATTTATACTCTGAATAATGCCTTATTAGAGGTTTATAATAATGGTATTAATTTTGAAATCTTTCCCTTAATGTCTAGTTTCCGTTTTATCTTTAGTTAGGGGATTTCCTTAATTTGATCAACATTATACTGAGGCTCTAGGTCCCTATCAACTGTAGAGAAGTCAAACAACCTAAGAGGTTAACTATTTCAAACTCCATGGGAAAGAAGTACAGAAACTAACATCAGAATTTGCTTTAAGGGCGCCTGGGTGGCTCAGTCAATTAAGCGGCTGCCTTCAGCTCAAGTCATGATCCCAGGGTCCTATAATCAAGCCCCGTGTCGGGCTCCCTGCTCAGTGGAGAGCCTGCTTCTCCCTCTCCTTCTCCCTCTGCCTGCCGCTCTGCCTACTTGTGCGCTCTCTCTCTCTCTCTGTCAAATAAATAAATAAAATCTTTAAAAAAATTAAAAGAAAGGGCGCCTGGGTGGCTCAGTGGGTTAAGCCGCTGCCTTCGGCTCAGGTCATGATCTCAGGGTCCTGGGATCGAGTCCCGCATCGGGCTCTCTGCTCAGCAGGGAGCCTGCTTCCCTCTCTCTCTCTGCCTGCCTCTCTGTCTACTTGTGATCTCTCTGTGTCAAATAAATAAATAAAATCTTTAAAAAAAAAAAATTAAAAGAAAAAAGAATTTGCTTTAAGTCATGGGAAATAGTTTTCTTAATCCTCAATAAAAGCATTATAGAAATTTATAAAATGAAGCAGAAATCTATTAAGCACATACTATGGAATTCTGTTGAAAAACTATTCCAATCAGTTACCAAACAACATTGATTAAACTGGACTTCAGGATTAAGTATAGCTTTAGACATCATAGAAGAAAAGACATTTTATTGCATAGAGGATATATGCAAAAGGAGAAGAAAAAATAATCAAATTCTCAACACTAACCATGTACTTGATATAAAATGCTTGACAAAATCAAAGGGCCTACATTTTAATTGTTAAGTTTTATTTTATAATCAGTTAAGATATGGAATTAGTTATTTTAGAATGGGCAACACTGAGTCATTCTTGGTCATTCAGGAGGTAGCAAGCTCTACTTCCAAGTACAGTAGATGGTACAGCACAAAAATGCTAAAGTATAATAAAGATAAAAGTATATTACTAAAAACAGTATAATATATTAACACAGAATTAGAAAAAGTGACTTACTGAATTATTAATACGTAATATGAAAAATATGAAAGCCAGCACAGAACACACATATCTACATAAAATGAACTTTTATTCAAATTATAACTTTTGGGGAAAAGAAGTAAAAATGGTAATCAAGTCAATTTGACAAATCTATTCAGCACCTAAATACTAATGAGCTTGGGTCAGGGAATGAATTCACAATTTGAAGACATGTGGTACATAAACAATGAATCCTGGAACACTGAAAAAATAAAATTAAAAAAATAAAGACATGTTGACTAAAAGTTGATTGGATGACATGCATTAAAAGTATAATACAGAGGAATAAAAGTATATTCATTTTTTTATTGCTGTGTAACAAATTACCACAAACTTAGTAGCTTAAGACAATACCCATTTATTATGTCACTGTTTTCTTGGCTCAGCAGTCTGGATGCAGTTAGCTGGGTCTCCTGTTCAGGATCTCACCAGAGAGCAATGAAGGTGTCAGCCAGAACTGCAATTCTCATCTGAGGATCAGGATCCTCTTTCAAGTTCACTAGATATTGGAAGAATTCATTTCCTTGTGGCCATAATGCTAAGGTCACCACTTTCTTGCTAGTTGTTGGTCAAAGAGGACTGTCTACTCCTAAAGGCTACCTATACTTCCCTGCAACATTGTTTGCTTTTTTAGAGACCAGCAGAAGCATGTCTCTCAGACTTTCTTCTCCCCTTCCAGTCTGTTATGAGGAAATCTCGTTAAATGTCAACAGTAATCACAGGAGTGACTATCCCATCACCACTTCACCATGCAACAAATCTAATCAAGAGAACTGTGACACCACCCTATCCATAAGGTTGCACCAAGGGGAGGGAATACAAGGTAGCTACACCAGAATCATCACTTTGAGGGACCATCTTAGAATTCAGCCTACCGTAGATACCTAAGGATGCTACAAGAGCAAAAGAGAAAATTTGAGATTCAGACAAACAGAACAAGAAAGAAACAGGGAGTCAAACCTATGAGTCCTTACTAGCCACACTCCAGGCATTGTTTTCGAAATTTTTTTTCTTTTTTTTTTTTTTAAATGAAGAAGTTAAGGCTTAGAAAAGTTAAGTAACTTGCCCAAGGTTATAGAGTCTGGATCTACCCAAAAGGAATGTCTGAATTAATATATCTAGGTAAATGGTTAGCTAGGTAATCTGCTATCTAGATAAATGGTTGGTTGTGGGATTGACAGTGAAGAGGGAGGGAGGGGTGCTCTCAAGTAAAGAGAAACACTGTGCAAAGACAAAGAGATTGGGCAGGTTACACACAATAAGAAAACTACAATACAAGTATGATCTTTAGTTCAGCCTCACTTGAGCACATAGCCTGTGGTAGGGAATGGATGGAGATGAGCTTAGAAAGATAGGCAGGTGCCAGTCTAACAAGAATCTTATGAAAACTTATTCCTTAAGGCTAGATGAAGCAATAAAAGAATTTTAGGCAGAAGTGTGAAAAATTTTATTGAATTTTAAAAAAGATTCTTCTGGAAGAAATGATGTATCATAGCCTTCACACTGAACTTTTTAAACAATTTACCAGTGTCAGATAGTTATCAATACAAATTATGTATCAAATACATGTAGGAAAACTAAGAATTTGTAATAGATGAAGAATTCCAGGTAAAAAGTTAATACCTCCCCTCCTCCCAAAGCCAGTTATATACATTTCAAAGAGCAAGGTGAAACTGGAGAAACAAACCACAGCAGTGTAACCATATGGGTATCAAATGCCTACCTTTACTTCACCACTTCCACCAGTACTTAGCACGTTTCTCCATCCTTGTTCCCTGGCCCTATTTATTCTCTCCAACTTTTGGGGAAAAGAAACAAACAAAACACAATTTCAAGTATTTAATATAAAATACATGAAATATATTTACTTACACAATGGAAATCAGTGTATTCCTTTAGGGAAAAAAAAGTACATGTGTGGGGAGGGGGTAGAATGCACCATGGAAAAATGGATTATCCTCTTACCCTTTCCTTTTCCTGTCTTTTCATCTGCTCGGCCTTCATTAAACTAATCTGTAACAATTTTAAAGACAAACTTCTTAGAACTCTTGAAACTATTATCGTCCACAACTTGGCAAGGAAGAAAAAAGCAAAAAAAACTACCTGATCCTTTTGTTTCTTTTCTTTTTCAATAAATTCCAACCTTCGCTTTCTTGCTGCTTCCTTAAATAAAAAAGAACAGTTTTATCAATAGTAATTCCTACTTTTTCTAGTTTCATAAGGAAAGTTAGTATACCAATGGTAAACATATGCCCAGGGAGATTAGGAAGAGAAAAAAAGGATTAAGTTGAAGGTTTATTTGTTTGAAAGAAATAAGGAGGAAAGGTTTGAAGGTTTTATAAGATTTTGTTTCTTAGAATTGTTTTTGCAAAGCTTTAAAATAAGCAGACAGATGTCTTTATACCTCAAACATTTTCCTCCTTTCTTCTCCGGGATTCACTTTCTTCACTGGAATGTGATGGGCCTGGACAAAAAGTAAAACTACAAATTAGATAAGGATTTTGAGGTACCTATTTGAAAAATTCAAATTTGTGGAAACTTAAAATAAGAAAAAGGTAAAGCCAAATACTGCCATGACTCTGTTTCAAAACATATTATCCCCACAGTAACACAATAATAGGAAGAAACTCTTAACACCTACTTACATCAATGGATAGATCATTCAGACAGAAAATCAACAAGGAAACAGCAGCTTTGAAAATCACATTAGACAGATATACCTAACAGATACACACAGAACACTCCACCCCAAAACCTCAGAATACACATTCTTTTCCAATGCACATGTAACATTCTCTAGAATATTAGGCCACAAAACAAGGTTCAATAAACTTGAAAAGATTAAAACCATATCATGCATCCTTTCCAACCACAATGGTAAAGTTTTAGAAATCAATCACAAGAAAAACTGTGGAAAGAATACAAACACATGGAGCTAAATAACAAGCTACTAAACAATGAATGGGTCAACCAAGAATTCAAAGAGAAATAAAAAAAAAATACATGTAAACAAACGAAAATGAAAACACAACAGTCCAAAATCTTTGGGATAAAGCAAAAGCTATTCTAAAAGGGAAGGTTAGGGGCGCCTGGGTGGCTCAGTGGGTTAAAGCCTCTGCCTTCGGCTCAGGTCATGATCCCAGGGTCCTGGGATCGAGCCCCGCATCCGGCTCTCTGCTTGGCAGCGAGCCTGCTTCCCTTCCTCTCTCTCTGCCTGCCTCTCTGCCTACTTGTGATCTCTGTCAAATAAATAATAAATAAAATCTTTAAAAAAAATAAAAGGGAAGTTTATAGAAATATTGGCCTACCTCAAGAAACAAGAAAAATTCAAATACAAAACCTAACCGTATACCTAAAGGAGCTAGAAAAAGAACAAGGTCCAAAGCCAAAAAATAATAAAGATTAGAGCAGGAAAAAAACAAACAAACAAAATACAAACATATATATGTAATATATATATATATATATATAAATTTCTCTAAAAATTTTATATATATATATATATATATCTCCCTAAAAATAAAAGAATGACTATAGTGTTTGGTATGGTGTTTGTTAAGCAAAAAGAAACCTCAGATTCAAAGAAACTATGAAAAAGGGTTCTTCTACAATTACTAAGTTCTGTCCTCAGATACAGATGTTAATTTTCAAAGTTCTCTAATATGAAAATAAAATGTCATTTAGAAAGCCCAATATTGAAGAGATAAATTTTTAAAAAGTAGTTATACAATATATGTTCACTATTATATAAAATTTAAACAATAGTAAAAAGTTAGTCTACTTCACTCCTACTTGTAGAGGTAACCACTGTCAGTATTTTCATGAGTAACCTTCCAATACACACTTAAATATATATACACATTTAAGTATATATATAACTATATACATACATAGAATTTTAGCTTTTTATGCTTCTTACACAAACATAGTAACAATGTGCTATTAGATGAAAAAATGCTTTTTACTGTTAACAATGCTCCTTGACATTTTCACACTGTAGTAAGCAAATTAACAGTGGCAATATTCCATACAATAGATATAATTAATTTATTTTAGCATTCCTCAAGGGATGGATAACTGGGTTGGTTCTACTTTTTCCTACTCTATATGCTTGTAAGGCACTTCCCTGTCCATTCATCTTTGTGCCATATGCAAGCTTTCAGAAGGGCAATTTTTCTAGACATGGAAGGACATGTCTAACACAACTTAGATGTTGAGAAAAACTGCCCTCCCAAGAGTCTGCACCAAATTATACTCCCACCAAAACACTCATTTACTCACAGTCTCACAAATATTGAGTATTATCAATCTATCTTGATTTTCTGCTTTCACAAAGATTAACAATATCTCCCAGTATAGAGATATTAACATTTCTTTTTATGTACCAATTGTTCATCTAATTGTGGGGTTGTTCAATTATAGGAGCTCTTTGCATACTGCAGAAAATAAGATTATTACAGATGTTACAAATATTTTCCCCATTCTATTAGTTGCTGTTTATTGTATCTTTCACCATACAGAAGTTTGTAATTTATATACAGTTAAATCTGCCAATCTTATCCTTTATGAGATCTGCATATATTGTTTTGCTAAGGAAGACATTTTAACCTCGATAGTATGTTCTGTTTCTGCCACTTAGTTTCATTTTTATATTAGATCTTTAATTTATATTTAGATTTTTAAACGTTTATAGTTAGATTTTTATTTTTAGACCTATCTAAAATAAATTTTTATTCATGGTATATGAGTTGGGAATCTACATTTTTCTAGGATTTCTAGGAAATTCAATTATCTCATAACAATTTATAGGCTGATACATTTCCCCCCCCCACTGGTTTAAAATGCCTCATGTATCATATAATAAATTCATACACATATTTGGTCAGTTTCTCAAATTCTCTAACCTATTCCACATAATCATCTCCTCTTTTTTCTTTTTTTTTTTTTTTTACTGGGATATAAAGTCACCTATAGGAAAGTAGATAAAAGATCTACACAGAGGTTAGCAAAAATAAATAACCATACAGCTATAACTCAAGTCAAACCAATACCCAGAATCCCTCCAAGTATCCTTTCACAAATTCTACCTCTACTACAAAGGTAAAGTCCTGACTTTTTAACTACCACCTTGCTTTTCTTTATTGTTTTGCAACTTACATATGCCTTCCTAAACAATATAGTTTGGTATTTTTCTGATTCTGAATTTCTAATGAATGAAATTATATAATATGTATTCTTTTATATCTTGTTTCTGTTGCTTAATACTGTTTTTGGGATTTATCTACATTATTGTTTCTATCTACAAGCTGCTTCTTTGAGATCACACAGGTATCTTCAACTGTATCTACACAGAAGAGAAAATATGGTAACATAAAACATCACATTAAGAGAAATGTTTTATTTTGCATTTCTTTTTAAAAATCAGAACTAAACCTATTCATAGAGCTCCCTCTGGTGGCATAAGAACAGAATCCTTAAAAAATAACATTACAGGCACTGAAACAAGTTTCTGACATGCAAATATTTTTATCATATGCTGAGTAGTAATACTATGTTATTAGCCTAAATTTTTCCAGTTAGAAAGTGACAAGACAATATCATTAAGTGGTTGTAGTTTTTCTTATAAACTTCTCATTTTCAAGCTTTCACCACCTCCATGAATGAACACACCAACTTTACACCTACTTATGGGAGCAATTTCTCCTAGAGATCTACAGGCTGATTTAACAACTTCTACACAACTAAATAAAGAACAAGAGAAACAAAGACATGGTTTAAAAAAAAAAAAAAAAAAGGGAACTCCCATCCCCAATGTTGAGAACTACAGTGCTGAGGGACTGGAAACAAACTGGTCTGCCCTGGGACACAGAAAATAAGCTGTTTAAAAGAACAATTAGTATATAAAAGAGCTGGCCCTAGAACTCCATCAAACAGAGGAGCAACTATAACTCCATCTAGGTACAAGTGGCTGGGAGTGCCGTGGTTTACACTACCTCCTTCACCATGAAAGCACAGACCAGATTAAGGTACAAGACACCAAAGCTGGCCTACCCACTTCATCATGCTCTGGGTCCCTAGCCCACAACAGCCCCAGGAGTTCTGGAGCTTTAAAAGAGCAACCAGCATACAAAAGAGCAAGTCTTAAAAATCCACCAAGGGGCAGGGAGAGCTGATAGAATTCTTTCTGGGCCAAGTCAGAAGGGCTAGTGAGTAACACAGTTTACACTCCCCTCTACCTTAGTAAAGGGAGCAGGGTCCTAGTACCCTATCTGGCCTGCCACTTCAATGGGCCCCAGGCCTCTAACCCACACCAGATCCAGCCATCAAGGTAGCCAGAGGGCAGTGCACACAAAACTCCTGGTCAGCACTTACTACAGCTCCACCTTTTGTGCCAAAGTGACACAGGTGTGCAAAAGGACCCCAGAACACACAGGCCCAGACCACCATGGCTTTGGACAGTTTATAAGGGTAGCTCTAGTGCATGGTGCTATAGGACCTCCCAGGTGATGCCTGCTTCGGCTCCAGCTGTCATGCCAGGGTACCCCCAGGTATGAAGGCCCCCAAAACACCCCACCTGTACTTGCCTCAGCTCCAGTCACCTTGTCAGAGCACTCTCTACGCAGAGAGTCCTAGAACACCCCGAAATATACCTAGTTCAGTTTCACCAGACCAATGTGCCCTATATAGAACCATGGGATCCTCTGTGTTACACAGTGCTTCAGCTGTCCTGACAGGCTGTCCTCTGCATTTAGGGGCCCCAGACACTCCCTCCCAGGCCTACAACCAGTTTAGTTTTAGCTGTCCTGCCAGGGTGCCCACTGCATTGAGAATCCCAGAATCCCTTGCTTGGATCTGTTTCAGTTTCAGCTCCTCCTAGGGCACCCTCTGAACAGATAGCAACAGGACCACTCTGGGCCATACCACCCCAACAAGGCAACCCAGCACAGAATGCCCTATGACCTCCAGGCCACAAGAGCCACAGTTCCACCCAGCCACCACAAGTCATCAAGCACACACAGTCTACATAAGTGACAACCATATTTAGGACCATTCCTCCCAAGTTAAGGAAAAGCGGCTGTTCCACATATGCCATAGAGACAAACACAGAAAGGCAAGCAAAATAGGTAAAAAGAAGAGTATATTCCAAAAGAAGGCCACTCCCCTTCAGGACTGAGAGAGATACTCTTTCACCCAATACAGAGAAACAAATAGAGAAAGCCAAACGAGGAAACAGAGACATATGTTCCAAACAAAAGAACAAGACAAAAATCTCAGAAAAAGACCTAATAAGATGAAGATAAGTAACATACCTGATAAAAAATTCAAAGTAATTGTCATAAATATCTTTACTGAACTCAGGAGAAGAATGGGTGAACACAGAGAGAACTTTGACAAACAGAAAGGAAACATAAGAAAGTACCAAACAAAAGTCAGAGCTGAAGAACACAAAAATTGAACTGAAAA